GGGGTGGGACACGCACGTGGGTGGGCGGGGCATGCTTGCATGTAGGTGTGGGTGGGAATGCGTGGAGGGGTAGGAGACCTGTCTCCACAGCCCAGTTCTGCCAAGGCCACGGACTGGCACCGGGTTGTGGACCGAGGGTTGGGGACCCCTGCTTTAAGTTACATCACATAAGGCTGATTTTGCAGGAGCTTTTTGGAAATTAAAATTTTTAAAAGAGATCCCAAAAGTTGCAGAGTTTCCTTGGGGTCCCTTTCGTCATGGGGAAACCATTGGGGCCCTTAGAATGGGAGGGTGCTTTTAATTTCCGAAAATCTCCACTGGGGTCAAATCATCCTGCGAGCAGTGTTTTTGGAAATTAAAGTCTCCCTCCCCCTGTTCTCGGACCCTCAGTAGCCTCCCCACTGTAGATTTGGCGTGCCCTTCATGGGGGGGGGGAGCAGAGCTTCGGAGAGAGTGTGTCCTGCAGGGCATGGGAGCCTGATGTGGCCTCCAAGATGCACTCGTTGCAGTTGCTGGAAGAAAACTTTGTTCCAGGAAACTGAATAATGGGCTTTCCTCCCTCAGGATGTTGCAGATGAACCTTGAAGACCTTTGTTGTGGCACCTCATCTAGTTTCATCTTTAATGCTTTCCATGTTTCCTTACCAAAAGGGTACAAATAATAATAAAAATAAAAAATTCTCTGGAAACCATGACATGCCATATTTGATAACACTTGTCCTTAGGGCCTAATGCCATTCTGAATTATTTCACCGGAGAGGAAAGAGCAGTTATGTGTGACTTTGAGGCACCCAAGATGGGGCAAAAGGCACTTCTAGTTTATGTGCTGAATGACCCTCTTTATATGGTTAGTAGGGGCATATAATACATGTTGGGAGAGCAAATTGAATTTTGATTTGTGGCTCACCTTTAGGGAATCAATTCCACTGCCAAGGAGACTCCTTTATAATTTCAACATGAGGCTTCCCGTTTTTAGAGAAGGCTGTGAGAGCATGTAGGCGAAGTAGCATGTAGGCCCAGTATGCTCTGCGCTGTTTTAAGCAGAGATTTTGTTGAAACTGTAAACCATGTAATGGGTTTTTGTATCGAACACATCCCGCTGTGGCAGATGCGGTACAAGAAGTCTGGAAGAAAATCTGATTCTGGATGCTTTTCTTGCTTCCTCCTTGCTTCAGCCTCAGCCTGGCTTTCTTATGCACGCAAATTGGAGAGGGAAATGAGTTAAGGGGTTTATCTGAGGGCAGTTGATCATATACACAAATCCCAGGTGGCCCATCCAGAAGAGCCAGCAGTTGTTAAACATGTCCAGCCTTGCACTTGTTTATAGGATGTTCGCCTGGGAGAATGGATTTTTCACCTTCCTGTTTTGTTCTAGGGCTACAGAAGCTTGAGAACATTTTCAGTTAACTACACAATCTGTGATACAACAGAAAATTGTTATTTTATTTTTAATTTTCCCATCTCTAATCTGATAGGTAGAGCCCAGATGTGTTTCAGAGCAATACAACATATGAAGTACACTCAAAAATAAGTGCTGTACAATATTGGGAGGAAAGCAACAGATATGGAATGTTCTTTTGAAAATTAACATATTACTTGTCTGCTGTTGCTCTTCATGGATAATGTTACCCTGGTGTAACAAATAATGTCACATGTTATTAACATGATTCTTTGATATTACTGGGTAGAAGTACCTTGCATGTAAGGAAAATTGTGCAAGCAGGTTCTGCAATTTTCTGGACATCTGCAGTGGGCACAACGTCTCCTTGTGTGTTCAGGCGCATGGCAGGCAGCTGAAATGACTGTGTGCTCCAATTATGCAAGTTTGAGTTTGCTCTGCAGCAACTCAATAGATGTCTGGCTGTTGCTTTGAAAGATTAACCACAGCATCCCTAAATGGCAAACCTTCCTATGCCTCCAGAGTACTCTTTCTGTCATAGTAAGTAAAACATTACTGATCACACTAAAACTGATTGAAATCCTGTTCAAGTTGATGTAACATGAAGTTATGCCTATGAAAGTGTGCCATGCCTTATGCTTAGGCAACCAGCATTGCTCTGTCAATGGCAGGATTCTGGCCACAACTGGAGGAAATGGGTGGAAACGTCAGCTCAGCTGTGCATCCCTGGTGCAATGCTGCACAACCGCATGCCTTAGAAGAAACGTTGAGTGGTTATGCCATGGTTGTGGAGTCAGTTATGAGGTTTACATTGAGACTTTTGCATGACATGCTTGCAGAAGTCCTTCGTAGATAAACTTTTACCCGGTCACAATTTTGCCTACTGCTTCTGCAGCTTCATTTTACACATGTGTAGCTGCACAATGGGATTTGAGCCACTGTAATGTTTATATTCTCCTTAGAACGTCAGAAAATTAGAGTGCTGCTTCTTATTACACAAAAAGTGCTGGGCAACATAGAAGCTTGTTAAGGTGTTACTTAACTCTGGTGAGACCTCTAGAAGTATTCACTCTCCTGTATCACTGCATCAGCACTGTTAGGCTGATGTTCCCTTTGTGCCTTTTGGACCGTATACAGTGGGCAAAAGGAGCACATTTGGGAAGGGATGGTCCTTAGATGATGGAATGCATGATAGGTTTGCAAAAGTCCTGGAGTACAATGGCTAGAATCTTTATTTTATTTATTTATTTCATTTATACCACGCCCATCTGGTCTAAAAGTCCACTCTAGGCGGCTTCCAATATAGTAAAAACAGTGAAATAATACAAAAAACACAAACAATTACATAAATCATATTGTAATAAACAGAATACAACAATAGAATAGAAAATACATAAGGAGAGAATAAACAGACTTCAGTGCTAAGAGTCTTTTACTTGGCACTTAATTCTGATCTTCGTTTCTTCAATAGGAATTTTGCATGTGGAAAGTCAATAAAAGTTTACTAGAAATTCACAACTTGAACTTTATATTTCTTTGTTGTTTCTTCCTCATTTTTTGTCTCCTTGTCTTCCTGTTGAAACTGCACAATGTGTTTCAAGAACAGCATTCTGACTTACTGTTTCAGTTCCTTTTGTGCTTTTGGTTTTTAACAAAACGAAACTCTTATGTTATATTGCATGCAATCATTCTGTATAATTAAAGTGCCTCCAAAAAGTACATGAAGTCTTAATGTTCCTTTCTTGTATTTGTAGATACACATCATTGACTTTGACGATGAAAATAATATTATAAACAAAAATGTTCTTCTGCATCAAGTTGGTGAAATTTGGCACATAAGTGCCAGTCCAGCTGATAAAGGTGTCCTGGCAACTTGCTATAATAAAAGTAAGTGCAATTTTAATTGTTTTTCTCTGCTATGGTTGTTTCCTTACCATATTAGTAGCTGCCTATCCTGCAGGGTATATGTGATATCAAAATGCTCATATAGATAGGAGCTCTTCCGACGTTTTGAGTTCTAAAATCATACTGACATTTCATTAACTAAAAGTAATTACATTTTAAAAAAATATCAGACAAAAACATTCTTGGGACTACTTTCCCTTCTTATTCACAGCTGTCAAAGGGAGACCCAGAGAAGGGGATTTATATGGGATCTGGCGTATACTTAATGTGTTTCCTCTGTTGATCAGTTCTGCATGGGCTACATCTGGAATGAATGCATCCAGCTGCCTCACTCTGCGCATGAGTAGTACTTGTGCTTTACTGCATGCGCTTCTCATCAAGGCCCCTGTTAGTTAGAGGGCATTGTTAACGCATCCAATTTCATCCATTTCAGAGCACTGTTTCTTTGCACCATGCATGGATAAAGTATAGCGGTGCCTCGCAAGATGATTGCCTCGCGGGGAGAAAAAACCCACAAGACGATTGGTTTTCGCGATCCCTATGGTGCTTCACAAGCCGTTTTTTTCTATGACCATGCTTCGCAAGGGGGTTCCCCCCCGAGAATGATGCTTCGCAAGACAAATCAATTTCATTCGTCTTGCGAGGAAGACGATTTTTTCACAAGATGACAATTTTCACGGAACAAATTACAATCGTCTTGCAAGGCACCACTATATGGCCTCTGGGCCCCATACAGTCTCTACTGAAAACCTATAGCACTCTTCTTGAGCCAAAGGATTTCAGAAATTTTTTTCTGGCTGGTACCTGCCTGTTCTGGGGAGAAGATTCCATGGGCCTAAACCAGGTGGGAGGTGTGATCTGAAATTGCTTGTGCTGAAGTGAATCTCACTGAACTCTGTTGGGTTTAATTCCAAGTAACTCTGCACAGAATTGCACCTATAATCTCTAATTGTCTGCTGCCACTTTAAAAATTGTTTCTTGGAGAAGAATCTTCTGCTGTTCTAGGACAAGGCATCTGTAACATCTCAAAGTAAATGTGGAATTTGGTTTATATTCTCTTTGTGTAATCATTTTTTAACTAACATGAAAATAAATGTAATGTGGTAAATAAAAAGACCATGGCTCTGATGGCCTTCAGGGCCTTATTCCTGTAAATATGGCTTGGTTTCCCCAGCCTTTCTTTGTAGTACATTGTAATGCTCATCCATTCATCTTAGTTCCCGCCCCTATATCTGGCCCGTACAGGCAATAACTATATTTGGATACTGAATCCAAAATTAGTGCTATTTAGAATAGATTCACTAAAATTAATGGAGCTTGGTTTTTATCGGCAAGTTCCAGTTCTTAGATTTGCATGCCCTGTATTCAGCTGTCTAAAGACCGGTAACTTGCCAGGTCCATGCTATTTTGAAAGATCATGTGCTACCTACCCACACTCACTACTAGAAATGGGGGTATTTGTATACACTCACACATTCCAGTCACACATCCTGGCACGGAAATGGTTCTTCTCGTCCTGCCAATGGTGCCCAGAGCTCCACTGTCTTCCTGCTCAACTGGCCACTCTACGCAGGGGGCGGGAGGATGAGCCTCCCTGCATGGCTGCCGAGTGGCCAGCTGAGCAGGAAGACAGTGGAGCTCTGGAAGCCATTGGCAGGATGAGCAGGACCATCGCTGTGCCAAGATGCATGAGTGGATGGTCTGGTCCTGGGGGGTGAGACCCTCAATAAGGCCAGCTGCGATGGGAATATACGAATACGAAAATCTGACTTTGCTACTCACTACCCATCTGGTCATTCGTTTTATATCTGTATATCAAGTTTGAGATGAAGGTCCAAGGAAGTAAAGGAGATTGCCAAGATGAATGAGGTGAAATCCTTTTTATAAAAAGTGCCAGAGTAAGTGGGAAGATACTTACTTTGAATGAAAGAAAAAAAACAGCTTTATATTGTGTTCATTTAATGAAAAATGTAATAGCAGTGATACAGTCTCTTTAAGAAGTTGAAATACATTACACAGTAGGGAAGAGAAACTTGTGTTCAAATAGGAGGCAAGTGGTTCCTGTTTAAATATTGTAAAAAAAACATGAATGATGGTGAGTGAGTAGCAGTTGGTACAGTCATGGGAAGACGCCTATAGTGGAATCCAAAAAGGTGACGTCATTCCTGCTTGCCCATCACAGCAGCTAAGGGGGAGGAGCCAAGGATAGAGCAGGAGGGGCGGAGCTGGAGTGACAGTTAGAGGGAGTTGAAGGGACAGTTAGGGACAGTTGGAGTTAGGGAGAGGTAGAAAGACTCAGGGACCAGAAGATCTATAGAGAGTGTTAGGGTTTTGGCACAGGTTAAAGATGTTTATGAGAGAATATTGAAAGTAAAACACATGTAACAAGCAGGACTGAACGCCTAAGCATAACAAGAGAGATACAACATTGATAGTAAAGTAATTGACTACATGATCTTAAAAGTGTTAACATCTGAACCAACTCTCATATGATTTTCCTGTTAATTTGGTCTATAATAAAAGAACACTTAATCATAAACCCTGCTTCCTAAAGTATATGACCTTTTGGGGTGGCAGCTCCTGTGTGGGACTTGAAGTGGTATTAAGAGAATACCTGGTGGCAGCGAAAAAGGGCGTGTTCCTTTGTGGGGCCCAAAGAAATAGGGGCAACAAAGGGTTGATCGCCACAATGCCCCCCAAAACCTCCCCCCTGAAATCCAAAAGGTCACAGTTGCCCACTCCTGCTGTAGCTGACCTCTAGGCCTTCCAGATAGATAGTTCAATAGATTGATTGATCGATCAATTGATCAATCTTGAATTGCAATAAATCCCCTCACTTTGAGAAGGTGGAGAGGCAAAAAGGAGAGTAGATCATTTTAGTACCTGAGTAGCTTACAGAATTAGAACAATAAAGAGCTGACAAAGCATTGAGCTGAGCTGAAATACAACCCATGAATCCTTTGCCTTACTTAATTTTCATAGCTCTCATTAAAGTCACACAGGAACTCTGAGAATGTAGTAGACTTAGGAGGGTGAACTGCAAAACTGTAACCCTTTGCTTCCTCTTTTCTGGGTATGAAACAGAAACGTGTAAATATACTTAACAGGTCCTTCTGAAACTTCATTTCTAAGGTTACTAATGTGATGTATGAAGACAAAAATTCTTTGTCAAAATGGAAATGAATTTAGCATTACTAAGAATACTGAGTTATGGAAATGTACACGTTGGATAGGAATACTTGCATAAAGCTAGTATCTAGTTTCATTGTGGAGCAGCTATAGGGTAGTATCAAAAAAGAGGTATACTGACACTGATTTCTGCTTGCCCTCCTTACTATCTGCTTAACTCTCTCTTGCCGTCACCAGTAGGACTCCAGGTATGTGAAAATCCAAGCAGAAAGGGCAAGGTGACAGCTGTAAATCAATAGGCCATGAGCTTCCATGGCTTTTCAGGTGCTAAACATTTCACTCCTGGAAAGGCAGAATCCAGAAACTTGAGAAATTAATTTCTTTCAGTGTACCTCAGTTTTAAAGGCTTGTTGGAATTGTGATTCTGCACTAGAAAAGAACTGTGTGTGGCCTCTGAGTTCATTTCTAGAGAGAGGCTTCTGAGACAAGGAAATGTGTATTGGCCAACCCATTTTCCTCCTTACCAGCTTTAATTGAGAAGACTTGGTGTTGTGCCTGATTGTCCTGAGAAAGTAAAAAAAAGGAACGGGAGTTCATAATTGTATGTTTCCTACACAGGTTATTCACTGAGGACAGGGAGATTTTTGGTTTAATTTAATCCATGGATTGTTCCATTTTCAGATTTTGTCAGATTTTTTTCTTTTACAGAATTGCCTAAAGCCACTGTTAAATTAGTAGACAAAAACAACATGCTAGTGGAGTTCCTTTCCTTTTCCATTTTCACCACTGGTAGGAAATTTGCTGTTGTGATTTCTAGGCATGTTACCACTTTTGCAGTCGGTTGTTGCCACCCAAAGTAAACTATCTGTCTAGATGGGCGGGGTACCTAGGCATGTTACCACTTTTGCAATCGTTTTTTGCCACCCAAAGTAGACTTTCTGTCTAGATGGGCGGGATATAAATCAAATAAACAAACAAACAAACAAACAAACAAACAAATAAATAAATACATACATACATACATACATACATACATACATACATACATACATACATACATACATACATACATTGTGTAACTGCAAAACTTAGTTACACCCCCCCTTAGAGCATAGTTTATAACTAGGAATTCATGAGTGCATTGTTGATTGTGCTACTGAAATAACCCCATTGGACAGTAGTCGATAATTTGATGGAATTATTTGCTATTAAGAGAATGAGATTTGGTATACATGTTGCATTTGTATATATCTCCACACCTGCACTAGTCTTCAGTAGAGGTAGAACATGTTTAAATACAAGGGAATATCTGAAACAGAGATTCTAATTAGTACTACAGAAAGAGTACAAAATGGCTTAAATTGACACTCCACATATACAGCTCGTGTGTCTGTTCTGTATAATGACTATTAAATCTCTCCTGTATCCCACTGACAGAAAGTCACTGATGCAGGAGAGATTTAATAGTCATATTGTAGATCTTGCCATTCATTCAGTATTAGAAGATGGTTTTGAGGGATCATTTATGGCTGAGTAGAAAAGAAACTGCTCCTGTCCCATTATGCAGTAAAAAGACCGGAATTTGGTGGGCTGGAGTTGCAGTGAAAGCAACAAGACAGTTTTTCAGTATTTGTCATGAAGAGGAGGAACGGAGGGTCGGGGCGGGAAAGGGGAAGGTGCTCACTGTAATTAAATTTCAGTGTATTTCATCTTTATTTCTAGTTTGCTGCTTGCAAAGGAATATTGTTTTCCAAAACATGTTCCGTAGTTTATAATACATATGCATAGGCACTTTAAGAGTCACACTTCCCTCTTGATGTTCTTCTTTTTTTGTGATATAGAGCATTGACAAT